TATATTCAATTATAGTTGACATACAATATTATACAACATCAGCTTCAGGTGTACAGTGCAGTGATCAAGCCTCTACCCCATCCATGAAGTGGTCTCCCTAACGAGACATGTGACCATCTAACACCCTACAAAAGATTTCCTGGACATTTTCTCACAAATCTGGAAGCTAGTAATAACTCACACTATTAAATACATGAATATCTTAAAATTTCTTTCATTATGAGGGTATTAATGACATGAGAATTTAAGAAAAAAATAAACTCTGAATGTTACCCTTTAAATGAACATATTTTCTTAATGGAGACCATTTGTTAATTACCTTCTTGCACATGTACGAGTGTGAGCCCCCTTTGCTTTTAATTCACAGTTTTGCAGCTCACATCAGATTGGATCCAAGTATAGTGGACCTGTACCAGCTGGCAAATATTTGGGAGGGCAGAGGGTAGGCTAATAAGGAACTCAGGATAGGTGAACTCCGGAAAGCAGTAGTTATTCAATAAATATTTGTGGGTTGACTTTTTCATGGACAACAGAAGAAACAATTAAAGAGAATTTGAGTATCCTTACAAAAATGAAAACCAATGTAGGTTCTAATTTGAGAGGTGTACAGAGATGCTGGATGTAGGAGAAGTGACCGTAGAGCATTCAGGTGGCAGTGGCTGGAGACGGGGGAATGCTCCAGCACAGAAGCCAAGGCCAGAGCACTGCTCATCACAGAACACCAGTGGGTGGGGTCCTTGGGATCCCAAAACAACAATTGTGGGAGTACTGATAGGCTTGACATTTTTTAGAAGCAACCTAAAAGAGAAAGACCATAGATTACCATAGTAGTTTATGAAGTTAACATTTTAACCTAGAGTTTTATTTTTACCATTATTTTCTCTCTAAATGCTGCAGAGCAATACCATCCTTCAGCAGCGTTATGTGACATTTCTGAGTACATTTTCAAATTGACCATTTAGCAATCATGTTAGTGATTTAGAACTGAAAAACTCACACTTCTGGCAACGTCAGTTATTAATGGTTTGTTCGTTAGAGAAAGTCTAAATTTGTGGTTGGTCTTTTCTGATATTTAAATAGAATTATAATAATTCTTTAAGACTTCATGCTGAATACCAGATACTTAAAGTTAGCACAATTGCTAGCTGATAAAGTTTGAAATTTATTTAAAATTCCTTTGAGGAATTTCTTTAAAATTCCTTGTAGTTGGACACTTTATTCTGTCTAATAAATAGCACCTTGATACTTTGATAAAAGTTTTAAGTGTAATTCATATTTGTCTTATACCTGCCTATGTTCTTATTACAGATAACTTAGGTTAAGAAGTGCATACCAGGTACCAGGGATGCGCAACTTGAAATTAAGTCCTGGAGTGAGGAGAAATTAGCATTAAAAAAGTAGCCGTTGTTGGCATAATCGTATTTCTTAAATCCCCTTGGGTCTTCATAAAATGTTTCAAGTTTTATTTAAATGTAATAATATTGGGGAAAAGAGAGCAGTGGTTTGACACACAGAAGTTAAATAATTCATAAAACGTAATTTATTTACGTAGTTTCATGATAAGTTTACCATAAATTTGATAAAAGTTGTCCATTCATTTGAGATGCAGGACGCTGAGATATATTAAATGTATTTATTATATAAGTAAATATAAACATATTTTGCTTTAAATATGTATAGATGATAAATCAGATTATCTCTGAAAAATATGGTCTGAGAACAATTTTAAATAGATTGATTGAAAAAGGCGTGAACGTTAGTTTCAAATTTGTTACCTTAAAAACTGTTTGCCATTGCCTTCCAGGTACAGTGCAACAAGATCCAAGTTCATCTTCGTTGGCACCTTTTAATACAACCACCAATGCTGTGGCTCAGTGTGAAGTAAGTACTAAGCTTCTCAAGTGACTTCAAAAGTCACTGGTGTTCTCTAAATAGCACTTTATTCTTGCCTTACAACTGTTTTATTATCATTCCATGTTAGGAGACTGAAGTCTTGACACAAGCACATAGGAGATAAACAGGTATTGGTGAAAAGTAAGGCTCCATGTTTATGTAAGTTGTAAATTAACCTGTATTAGAATTAAAATAACAAACAAAAGATTTTACATCGTGAACTATGACACATATACAGACAAGTGCATCAAACACCTGTGTGACCTCCATTCAGATGAGAACCATGGCTGCTGCCCTGGAAATGTGTCCTGCTTGGTCTCAAGCTCTCCCTTTCTGGTGGGAGCTACCCCACTGCTTATATTACTGACTTCCTCACTTTTTGTTATGTTTTTACACTTGATATATGCATCCCTAAACAACAGGATTTAAATTTGGAATACATGTAAGTGGAATCATATTGTATATGTTCTTTTGTGGCACAGCACTGAGTTTCTGAATTTCATCCATGTTGTTACATGCAGCAATAATAAGTTCAATTGTATTTCTGTAAAATGTTTAATTCTATTGTCAAGGAAGCTTTGGATATGTGTCTGGCTCCAGTCAGGAAGGTAGGAACTATATCAGTTATTTTAATTTTAATAGAGATATTTAATTCATTTTTTAAAAAACAGCTTTATAGGGGTGTAATTGATATACAAAAATCTATACATATTTAATGTATACAATTTGATGGATTTGAACATATATATATATATATATATATGCCTGTGAAACCATCACCACAATCAAGGTAATAGATATATCCATTACCTCCAAAAGTTTCCTTGTGATTCATTATTGTTGTAGGAACACTTAACATGAAATAAACTTTGTCAACAATTTTTTTAGTGCACAATATGATATTGTTAACTATAAGCAAATGTTGTAGAGCAGAGCTCTAGAACTTATTTATTTTGCATAACTGAAACTTTATACCTATTGATCAACATCTCCTCACTTCTCCCAACCCTGGCAACCACCATTCTATCCTCTTCTTCTGTGAGTTTGACTATTTTAGATTCCTCATATGAGGTCTCACAATTAAGTTCGTGAATTTGTGGCAAAAATGTTGCTAGCCTTTTTTGATATCAGAGGAATTATTCATTAATTGACTACAGCATCAATATACAGAAATCAATATACAATTCACCACATCAATATACATAAATCAAATGTATTTCTATATACCAACAAGAAATATTAGACAATTACCTTTTTAACAGACACCATTTATAATAGCATAAGAAATCAAGCATTTAGAAATAAATTTAACAGTAGCTAAAATATCTCTAGGAAGAGGTATTATAAAATTTAAAAAAGGACATTTGAAAAAGACTCAATATTATAAAGATGCTAATTCTTCCTTAACTCATTATATATCAATCCAAAAAAGATTCCATCAAAAGTGAAGTTTCAATATAACATATCAAGATTCAGTGGACAATGATATTTGCAACATGTACAATTAACAAAGGCTTATATCCAGAAATACACAAAGAACCCTAAAAATCCTTTAAAAAGATAGTCAACCCAGTGGGAGAGTGGCAAGAAACTTAACAAGTGATTCAAAAAGGGGAAATCTGAACAGACAATAAGCATATTAAAAGATCTAAACCTCACAAGATGCCACTACATAGTTAAAATTGTTAAAATAAAATGGTTAAAATTGACTGCAAAAGCAAGCTTTGGTGAGCATTTGGAGCAATGGGAACCTCATGTACTATAATTCCATTCCTAGAAGCACATCCTATAGGAATACTCGCACATTCTATGCCAAAAATTTGTACAATAATGTTCATAGCAGCTAAACAAGGAATGAACCCAAATGTTCATCAAATTGTGGAATGAATAAAGAAATTCCAGTATATTAAAATAATGAAATACTATATATCAACAAAAATGAATGAATTACAGCTCAATACCACGGATGAATCTCAACTGCATAATTTTGAGTGAAAAAAATTCAGGTATAAAAGAGAACACACTATGAGCAATTTAAACTACAGGTATGTCAGTCTCAGTATATTGACAGTGATGCTCTTGGCTAGGGAATGCCTGAGACACTCCCTTGTCAGAGTCTTATTACTTGTAGGGAGCCGCACAGAGATTTCCCAATCAAGGCCAATGTTGCGGCTAGACTGGCCCTTGTGGTTCTTATTATGACCACAGGATAGGCTTCTGCAAAAACCCGCAGGGAACTTTGATGTACAATATCTGTCACTCACTGGCCCTGGAGGGTACACGCATGCCGAGGGCCACACAGCAAAGTTGCAGGTAGAGAGGGTAGGAGGGAGCTCGGACCTAGGGCTCTGCCATTATTAAGATGAAAGGTGGGTATTTCGGCTTTTGTGGGCTCACTCTTTATTGTCTAATTTAAAATATAAGAGCAGGACTTAGGACATGAAAGGGAGAAGTGGGCTCACTCAAGTGGTCAGTTATCTAGGTCACCCAGACTTTCTGCAAAAGGGACCTTCATGGGTGGGAGCGGACCACTTCCTTATCTTGTTATACTAGTAGCTGCGTCATACTCGTAGAGCTGGCTGAATGTTGATTCAAGATGGACGTATTTTGAAATCAATATCTCTGCAATCAAAAGCTTAATGGCGGGCACTTACACTGCTTTAGTGTTTAGGGACACATACCTAATGTGATAAGTTGCTAAACAAACGCAAATGAGTGATTACTGTACCAAAAGTGATTTCACTTGGGGAGGAATGAGGTTGCAACTGGGACACACGAGGAGCTGCTGGCAGAGATCTATTTTTGATGGAGGCAGTACTTTCCTGGATGTTTGAATCATAATAATTAACATTATATATGTGATTTATGCCCTTATCTCTGTTTTCCCTAATACTCACACTGAAAAACAAGGTTCCAAAAAATAAAAAAATAAAAAAGGAGAGAGAGAGAGAGAAGTGATTTAAACAGAAGAGCTTGTGAAAAGGGAGTGGGGCGGGTGTGAATGGTGTGGCTGTGGTCACAGGTTGGGAGGTGGAGTCGGGAAGCAGCAGCTGGGGAAGGTGGAAAGACTTGAGATTCAGTGGTGCTGCAATGAGATCTGAGGCTCTCCCACAGTGTGGTTCAAGGCCCTTCCAGGGGATACATCTATTAACATTAGGTGACAGGCAGATATTACTGGTTTTTAAAATTCCAACCTTCAGCAATAGGCTTAATTATTTTATTGGGAGACTTACTGATTTCTAAAATATTAACCACATAGAAAATGATACCAAGGATTAATCCATAAGCAGACTTAAATTCTTCACCCCCCAAAAGCATCAGTTGAATATTATGAAGAGTGTATCATATTTCACAACACTGGTCACGTGAATTAACAGCGGAAGACACTATCTCTAACTTGAGAAAACACAGGGAATTTGGGGATTTAAGCCATATGTTTGATGCTGCCTTGAACTGAAAAGCTTAAGAAGTAATTTACTAAGCAGAGCTTTTTGCTTTGCACAGCATGAATTTTTGCTTTATTTGGCCTTACTCTCTCAAGAGAGTTTGTTCTGTTAGCCCAAGAACATGCTCAATCAAGCCCACAGGACTTTTTGTCAATGAGTGCTTTAGGCCATGTTACCCCTTCCATAATTTATACCAACTCCCCCAAATCCCTATATCCCCAACTACAATTGCTATCACCACCCAACCACTACTACCATCATCTTATGTATATTAAATATTAAGTGTAAAGACAATAGCAAAACACACTATTTTTATTCTTCAGTACTACATGAAACACTGTGCGTGCAATCCCAGGAGGCCTCCCCTCATCTTCTGATGGACACTCTTCTACATAGAAATTCTGGAGCTTCCTCTGCAGTTTGTTTAAGAACCATTATAACTTTGGAAATTACTAAATTATGCCCTATATGATCTTCCAAACTAAAGTTTAACAATTTCTTAATATAAAAGATGGTGACTCTAATTGTCAGTATTTTTATGCTTTAAAATGAGCAGGGGTTTGTGTTTGCACCGTAAGTCACAATATTGATTAATTTCTATTACTTTGTTTTTTAAAATTAAGTTTATTGTGGTGACTTTGGCTAGTAAAATTATATGGTCTCAAGTGTACAATTCTGTAATACATCATCTGTATATTGCATTGTGTGCTCACCACCCAGAGGCAGTTCTCCTTCCATCACCATATGTTTGACCCCCTTTTCCCTCTTCTACCACCCCCTCATCCCTTACCCTCTGGTAACCACTAAACTGTTTTCTGTGTCTATGAGTTTTTGCTTGTTTGTCTTGCTTTTTACTTTCAGTTTTATATCCCACATATGAGAGAAATTATATGGTTCTTGATTTTTTCTGACTTATTTTGCTTAGCATAATAATTTTGAGATCCATCCATGTTGTCACAAATGGTAATATTTCATCTTTTCTTATGGCTGAGTAATATTCTATTGTGTATATATACCACATCTTCTTTATCCAATCATCTCTCGAAGGATACCTTGGTTGTTTCTATGTCTTGTCCACTGTGTATAATGCTGCAATAAATACAGGGGTACATATATCTTTATGGATCATTGTTTTCAGATTTTTTTGGTAGATACCCAGAAGAGGGATTGCTGGGTCATATGGTAATTCTAGTCTTAATTTTTTGAGGAACCTCCATACTGTTTTTCATAGTGGCTATACCAGTTTACATTCCCAACAGCAGTGGATAAGGGTTCCTTTTTTTCCACAGCCTCTTCAACACTTGTTATTACTTGTCATGTAGATAATAGCCATTCTAACTGGTGTGAGGTGGTGTCTCATTCTGATTTTGATTTGCATTTCCCTAATAGCTAGTGAAGTTGAGCATCGTTTCATGTATCTGTTGGTGCTTGTATATCTTCTTGGGAGAAGTGTCTGTTGAGGTCCTCTGGCCATTTTTTAAATTGGATCATTTTGTTGTTGTTGTTGAGTTGTATGAATTCTTTATATATTTTGGATATTAG